CTCAGTTTTGCATTGCAACTATGCATATGTATTACTTTTAATTTCTTCAATATCATGCTTCACAAACCAGTCATCCATATCTTCAAATCTACTAAAGTTAGATTAGTTGTTATCATCAAACTATATATATTTTTTATACTGGAAATATACAATCCTTGCTGATATTTGTCTACACAACTTTCTAGCTACTAGAATATTATATGAATAATATATAATAGCATATTTAATTTTTTTTCCTATTGGAGATTCTTCTGTGAATATTTCTACACCATCCTATAATTCAATTAATTGATCAATTAAAGGTGCAAGATAATAATTAATCTGATGCAATTTAACTCTTTAGATTCTAGTAATAAGCCAAGATAATTATATTTTGAAGCTTAAATTAGGTTTCATATAGCAAATTACAAATAACTACATATATCAAACTAGTTGAATATACAGAATTTTTAAAAGGATTGAACTAGTCAAGATTGATCATAAGGCCAAGATGTGTATTAGCATATTCAGGTGTGAAGAAACTTTTATTATCTTGATCTTTAAACTCCTTCTATATATTACTATTATAAATATCAACAAGATATTTATTCTCAATATTTTCATTAATCTATTTTCTACATGATGCTTCAAAACCTTTTTGCTAGTATAATAACTAGAGTTGATTTTTAATACTTACTGTTAGATAGATAAGTGAAGAATAATGTATTATTCTAGTAGTTGTAGGCATTTCCTTTGCTAATTGTTAATTACAAAGTTGTCTTATTTTAGATATTAGGTAGTTAGAATATTCTGTAAAGGTATAGTAGAAACATATTAGGGTTTGTCTAGGTATATTTGTTATTATATTACTAACCAGATATAATTTATCACATACTGAACATGTTGTATAATTATTTATTTACAAATCAAGTTCTATTAATCTTCATATCAAACAGAGCGATGTTGAAAATGTTGTAAATTAATTCTAATCAAGATGAGTTAATATATAATAAAAGAATTTGATTAAAGAATCTGTTGCAGTGTCTGCTAGCTGATATCTTTGTTGATATTTTAATATTCAGATTAATATCTAACTAAAGTTTCTGTCAAGATTTTTAATACTCTTAAATCTATTATCATTGCTAATATCAATATCAAGAGCAGAATAATTCATAATGAATTTTTCCTTCTCATTATTACTTTCTGGCTCATTTATTTCTGAAATTACTTCTTCATCTTGATCAGAAATATTTAAATCCTCTAAAACTAATACAATATCAATTTCTAGCTATTTTTTAACTACAGCCTTCTTTTTTTTAGCTTTTAGTTACCAAAAATTGTATATCACTTTCTTGTTGAGAATTAAGATCAATTAAACTAGGAGAAGAAATTTTGGTACTACTACTTTCTATTTGAGAACTAATACTTGTATCTATTGTAAGTAGTTGAATATCAGCTATAAATTCATAACTACCATATATTTTAATATATGTATCTCTTGTTTGAGGATCATAGCAGTTTTTTTGACCTTTATATTTTTTACATATACAAATAACCTTTTTATGAGTTTTTGGTTCAGACAATCTAATAAATACAGATTCTGATTATTGACTTATTTTAAAAGAAATATAGTATAAAAATATAAAAGTTAGATATTAGAAGGTAAAGTAGATGAGAGATCTTTATATATAAAATCAAGGCATACTGTATTATGTATTTTATTTACAATTATACTAGTTATTGAACTGATATTTAAAATATGTTTTGAAAAATAATTTAAAACTTTATTAGTTTCAGAAGTTTTCAAAAATTTTAATAAAAGATTTCATTATACAATTTATGATAAATATATAATTAATATTATTACAATTTTATTTATTAATCAATTAATTAATTATATACATAATTAATTAATTAGTCTACTAATATTAAAAAAAAGTATCTAACTTTTTGTTTATCAGTTTTAAGATCTGATATTTATTACTGCAAATGTACTTCAAATTCAGTGTCATATATAAATATCAGTATAAATATCAAGTTTAATATAGATTACTATAGAATCAAAAATTAGCTACATTGTATTTAGTATCTAGTGATAAGCTTAATAATAACATTATATTTTTATTGTTTTGGCATATCTAGTATTATAAAAAATAAATCAATGATATTATACAATATTTTTAACTTTGTTTTACGTATTAAATTTTTATGTGTTAAATTTTTATGCATAAATTTTATGCATAAAAATTTCTTATATATTTATATATATAAGAAAACAAAAAATTACTTGGTCATTATATATAAATCATACTCTTTCTTTTACTCTAAAGTAATAAAGAAAACACAAATTTATTTTTTTTCACTAAATAATCTGAAACTTTTTTTATTGTCTTTATAGTCTCTAATACTATTATATTACTTCTTCAAATATGAGTTTTTTAAGTACTCCTAGCTTTTCTTCTTTGGATGAATGAAATCATCTTTCTTTTATACAAATGAAATTGTCTTTCTTCTTTACACAAACAAGATATAAAATTGAATAACAAAGGTATTTTTAAACAAACATATATATCAGATATAAATCAGTAGCATATAAGCATATTAGTTGTACTTCTATACATATCAGTTTACATAAATTAGTTGTACCTCTACATATATCAGTTTATCATCTACATGTGGCTTATTTTTTTTTTGTTAGATAGAATAAAGTCATTAAGAAATGAAATCCAAAGCCTTGACAAAAAAATCAATAAATTTATTAAAAAATCACATAGAAAAAGGATCTATTCACTAGTGACTAATACTGATAAGAGCAGCAACAACAATAGTAGCAACAACAATAGCAGCAATAATAATAGCAACAATTATAGCAACAATAGTAGCAGCCACTACTACAATAACAACAACAATAGCAATAACAACAGCAACAATAGTAACAATAGCAACAGCAATAACTGCAGAAAAAAATACTGAGGTAAAAGTAGATGCTGAGGTTTCTTCCAATTACTAAAAAAACATTAAGTATATGTATAATAAATATCTTATTTATATGCTAGAAGATATTAGTAACTTTTATTTGCTTAGTTAAATATCAGATTACTTATTAAATATAAGTATCAGATTAATTTATTATATTTTTATTATATTATAATAGAATGACATCTTGATTTTAATTACTAGGATGGAACTGTTTAACTGACCTAACCTATCAAAACTGTAGTCAGAGATTAAAGAAAATTTCCTTCTTAGCTCTTTTAAAATAATAAAAAGGGATATTGCTAGCTACTAGGTTGAAGACTACTATATATTAAATATCATAAGGGAGTAGTATTGACATCAAAGGGAAAAATACCTTGAATATCAAAACAAAGAAAAAAATAAATGCATATATATAAAGATATATATGAACCAAAAAATCTCATCTGTAAGCATTTTTATTAATATTATTTTTTTTGTCTATATAACTATCAGTAATATATTTATATATATAACTATTAGTAATATAGTTATATATAACTATTGGTAATAATTATTAGTAATACTTTATATATTTTTAATTGTTTTATAAAAAATTAAATAGTAAAAGAATGAGCTTGACTATCTCCAAAAAACAAGCAATGAGCAGCTAGATAACCTTCTTCCTACTAATATATCAAGAATTCAGATATTAAGAGATCTAAAAAAAATAATAGATGATAGTGTCTACTATAGTAATAAATTATCAGATACTGATATCACAAAGGCTAATAAAAATATAGACTAGGACAATATTTTAGTTCTGATGATAAAAAGCACAATCATATAATAAAGGTAGTAAACAAAAAATAGTAATCTAAAAAAGTAAGTAGTTCAGTTTTAGATAAATATTGAGTAAAAATATTTATTAATATCAGACTAATATTTATTAATTTAGTTAAAGCATATTTTATTATTGTACGAAAATAAATCTATAGTAAAAAATTCTAATAAAATTAAAAGAACTCAGTAAAATGATCATTATATTAACTATGACACCTAACTACTACTTGGTGTTTTTGAATAGTGTATTTCGTGATTATATAATACAAGTAATACTAGTAATAATTCTAATATAGCATCTAGTTATACTACTAGCACAAATCCTAATTATTTTTCTATTGAATCATCTAGTAATTCCCTCCTACAAATCCCTACAAAAATATCTAATAATGCCCCTACAAAAATATATAGTAATATCTCTATAAAAATATCT